ATGCCCCGAGGACCCAAAGTATGTGACCACTGTCACTTCATGGCTGGGTGACCTTGGGGACAACCGCTTGCACATCAGTTTCCCCAGCTGTAAAATGGGGATAGGAAGGGTAGAAAACACTTAGCAAGGTGGTTGAGATTAGGTGTGCTGCTACATGTAATAAAACACCCACAACCACGCCTCACACTTTATCACCTTCAGTAAATGGCAGGGATGATCGTCATTATCTTTATTCCTGACGGGCGCCCTTAGGCTCACTCTGATGAGCATGGTAACGGGAGATGAGACGCAAGCTAATTTCAGGGGCAGTTGCCATGGGACTGTGCGCCCGGTGCCCTGTGCTGAAATCAAGTTCCCCAAGTTCAAGGCCTGAGATATTAAGTGAGAGGTTCGCTTGGAGACCACCAATAAATAGGTTTCAAGGGAACAACTCCAGCAATGGGCTGGGGCTCAACTCCACACTTGGCCTTGGGAAGACCCCTGGGGTGCAGCTGCAGCCGGGGCCCTGAGCACTCAGCTTTTCCCTCGAAAGCCAGCAGACGCAGCAGACTGTGACCCTTTCTTATGCACAGGAATGGTCCTTTCAAGATGGAGGTCTGGGAAAGATGGGCTGTGACTCCAGCGTGTGTCCTGTGTCGTGTGTATGTGTGTGTGCGTGCGTGTATGTGTTGGCTTTGAGTTGGGGAAGGGGTGAGAAAAGAAGGCCTGGCTCACCCTGGCCCACCACCTCACACCTCCACTTGCTCGGTCCCTTCTTCCCTTAGGACATGCATCTCCCATCTCTCTCTGCCAATTAAAAGGATCCCCATCCTTCAAAGTCCATCTTGAACGTCACTTTCTGTCTCAGATCATCTTCCTCTGTTCTCCCCTCACACTTTGTGCTGCTCTCACTGCCTTGAGCCAGTTCAGGGCCGCCCTGTCCTTTGTAGGCAGGTGTTTTGCCCCCTCGTTGATTGTAAGCTCCTTGAAGATGGGGGGGGGGGAGCTTCCTCATATCTTTCTTCATATGTGACATGAGTGCTCACACATGCGTGAGCGCACAGCGCGGATTCTAGGCGCGCCCTTGAAAGGGGGCTTCCTGCTGGCCGTCAGTTGCGATTTCTGGCCTTGGTTCTGAGCGGGAGGTCACAGAATCAAGAACGTGGAGGGGCGTGAGCGCGAGAAGTTTCATGTGAGGTTGGGAAGGTCACCAGGCACTAGGGAGCCACAGAGCCCAAGTGCCACCTCCTTTGGGGATCTCAGGCGATTTGAATGGTAGGAGCGTTTGAGGAGCGACAGCTCTGGGTTGTGAGCTGTGACCGGCACTTGACAGCGATTATCCACAGAAGAACCCTAAAAACAGGGCAGCTTATGCCCGTTTTGTGGACAAAGTGAAGGCCGAGTTTCTTACAGCTGGGCCTGGGTCACAATGGTGCACCTGAGGGTCCCACCGGCTCTGTTGGGCACACCCACTGTCTGTCACACCGCTCTTCTGTGCCTTTGTTTCTCCCTTAACTGTGAAGGGGCTGAACATGGGACCTCTGAGGGCCCTTGCAGCCCAAGTGTTCTCTGATTTTTACTCTGAGGGCTGAGTAGATGGAGGATGCAGGAGATGAGAAGGCAGACATGTCGGGGGGTGGGGGAGAGTGGGGTCAGGCCTCTAAGAAAAAGCAGAAACAGCTGCCCACTGGGATGGTCTTTCTGCCGTCGCTCACCTCTGAGGATTAGCGGTACCTGATGGTAAGGGCAGAAGGCCCTCCTGAGCAGCAGCCTGGAGGACCAGCATTGCACCTGAGAGGCCCTGGAACCTCCTCCCCTCTTCCTCTCTCCTCCCCACCCCTGCTCTCCCCATAGATGTCCTTTCCCGGCCCTTCCCTCCCTTGTGAATCACAGTCAGATGCAGGTGATGTGTCACGGTGGGACTTGGCTTGATGTGGAGGGGAAGGGGTGCCGTCAGAGGGCAGCCTGTGGTTTCTTTTCTTAAGGAGCCCTTCCTCCCCGCCTCCTCCCTGACAGTGAGCTACCGCCATCTAGACTAACGGTGGTGTCTCTGTGCTCCTCTGGGAAGATCAAAGCACAGAGCACAGCAGGCTCATGTTCTTGGGAAGGACAAGGTCTAGGTCTCTCCCCTTGCTTTTGAGTCCTGTTTGGAATCTTCACAGCCTGTCCTGGAAAGGAAACCTCTCCTCTGGGCTTTCCGACCCCAGAGTGGAATGAAGGAGGGGATGGCCCACCAGGTCCTGCTACCTGGGGAGGCGGCAGGAAGTGCCCAGGCTGTTGAGTAGAGCCGAGGGAGAGCACAGTAGGGCCGCAAGAGGGAGTGAGCATCTGGGGCTTCCTTCCTGGCAGTCGGCCCATCTCCACCTCCATCCTGCTGACCTCGGCCCCCACTGCTAAGCCAGCTCCAAGCTTGTCTTTCCCAGGGACCCGCCAGCCAGCCCGAGCCCCTGCTCCCCTTCTGCTCTTTCACCCTGGGCACCTGGGAGCCACTTGCTTCCGTCACTGCTGTTACTAATTCTGTCGCCCCAGCAACCCTCCACTTTGATGCTTCTGTTCTCGGTTCTTCTGTTCTGATCCCCTCCGGGGCTCCCCAGTTCGGGTTTTGTGCGCAGGAAGCACCCAGGCTGCTGGCCACCTGGTGCATTCTCAAGGAGCCGCTGGTGTCCACAGTTTGCACCGGGGGAGCTGAGTGTCAGTATAGCAGGAAAGGAGCTCCCTGGTCAGAGGTGGGCGTGGCAACGGGCCTCATCCGCACCCATTTTGGTGACGTCTTAGGTCATGGGCTCTCTCCACACTGCCAGCACACTCTTCACGTCTGCGGATCTGGAGCCTGACACCATAGTGATTAATTGCTGTCTCCAGGGGTGGGCCCAGGCATCTGCGTTTGCTAACGTGTGGCCAGGGCTGGGAGCTCTGGGTTTCTTAATTCAGTCCTGAGTTGATGCCAATGATACAGTGGTACAGAGGGTGTGGAGGGGACTGAGCCTTTCCATGGGGTCCCCCCTACCTAGTTGACATCTAACAGATGCAGGACATAGGGTGGAGCAGGGGACACAGTGGACTAGTGTGCACATGTTTAGAACAGACCCAAGTTAGGAAGGGATGTCTGTGACGATGGGAAGGGCAGAGGCTCTGTGGTCCAGCCCTTGCTGGGGGTGGGGGAGATGGAGCCCAGGAGCACTGAGGAGAGATCTGGTGATCACCCAGCGAGGTGGCGCCTGGCCGAGGACAGTCTGGCGGGTTCCAGAGGGTGTAGCAGCTGGTTGGGCTGGGAGCCCCGTGTCAGAGTGAGGGCAGGGTGGAGGTGAGGTGGCTTGCCAGGGATAGAAGAATGGGGTTTCTGTGCTGCTTATCAGGATGGTGGCTCCTGGACAGGATGTGGTGGAGGCTCCCACAGCCCGCCTGCGGACGGCTGCAGTCAGTGCTGCCCCATGGTGAGGACTTTGGCCGGGGCACCCCACCTCTGACTTGCTGGTGACACAGGGCTGGCAGCTCTGGGGTTGGGCTGGGGGGTTAAGCCTTGTGCCTAGCTGTGAACATGATGGGAGGGGCAGGCGATGCCCGCTGCAGAAGTCTATTTCCTTGTTTCAGACAAGGGGCTCAGGACCTGGTCAGACATGTTCATCTTCCCCATTGAACGAAACCTTAGATTCAGGCCAACCAAGAATTCTATTCATTTATCCATTTTGGGGCGGGGAGGGGATGCTGAAAATATGTAGGAGGAAGGGATCACCACTTTGGGGGTCTGTTTGAGAAGACAGGACAGGGGCTCATGAAATATTGGCAAGATGATGTTGGCAAGTGAACCCTTAAGGCTCATTTCTTCCACAGAAATATATTTCAAATGCCCCTTGCTCCTGAAGTAGGAGCTCAGGGTCAGTGGGGGCTATGACAGTGAGAGCAGAAAGCCCTGGAGCCCAGGGCTCTCTGCCCAGGGCTGGTGGGAGCACATGGGGTCCTATAACTCGAGCTGGGCTTGACCAGGTGATCCAAGGCTGGGTTTGGATTCCTAGACCCAGGACCCAAGAGGTGAGAAGTGAGACTCTTCTATTTTTTTAAGGTTTTGTTGTTGTTGTTTTGAGAGAGAGAGAGAGAGAGAGGAGAGGGCAGAGAGAAAAGCCCAAGCAGGCTCCGCACTGTTAGCACAGAGCCCGACGCAGGGCTCGAACTCACAAACTGTGAGGTCACAACCTGTGTTGAAACCAAGTTGCATGCTTAACCGACTGAGCCACCCAGGTGCCCTGAGAAGTGAGACTCTTGACCCTGATCCCAAGCCCAGCCCCCACGGCCAGCCTTTCTTCACCCTCCGCAGAGAGCGGGGTAGTTTGCCCCTGAGCCTGCCCGGTTACCACAGCACAGACCCTCCCACTGCCACCACGTGTCCCACAGGAGAGGAGAGAGGATCGTGGTGAGCACCACAGGGGCCCAAAGAAGAGATCCGGGTCCCTGTTGGATTCTGTTCAGCACTTCCTCGTCCCATATCTGAGGCTGCCTGTCAGTAAGATGCGAGGTACCCATCCCCATGCCATAAGGGAATGGAAACCCAAACGTACTGAGCACCTCACACGTGCTAGGAACTGTGCAAGCATGAGGTCATCCGGCCACACAGCAGTTGGCTGTCCTTGGTAGAGGTTACCATCCCCATGCAAGCCCGTGTGTGTTATTCATAAGAATCTGAGACCCACAGAGTTAAGTGATTTGCATGAAGTTATACGGCTGAGTTGCAGAGCACGGGTCATCCCGGTGTCCAGCCCGTGTGTTCTCTGCTTCCTGTAGCAGCGTAAAGATCCAGTGTCCCTGGGGACCGGGAGCAGCATGAAGGGGTGACGGTCAGTATCAGCCCTTTTCTCCTTGTGTCCTGTACCTACACCTATGCTCTCACCTTCCTTTTTTGTCCACTGGACACAAGTGTCACCTGGCTCTCCAACACTGAGGGACATCGTTGGGCCCAGCCAAGGGTCCTGTGTGCGTGGGAGCTCAGTTCCAGACAGCTGCCTTCACGTGTCTTCTTGATCTTTCAGGAATTTAGCCATTGGAATTGGGATCCAGAATTTCCCAGAGGGCCTCGCTGTCAGCCTTCCCCTGCGAGGGGCTGGCTTCTCCCCCTGGAGAGCCTTCTGGTAAGTGCTCCAAGGTGTCAGCTGTCAGAGGCCAGGGTCATGTCTGATGTAAAGGCAGAGCGATCCTTTCTTTCTTCAAGAACCATCTCTTCTGCCCTGGGAGTGACTCTGGAGCTTACACACCGACAGTCTGTTTGAATCCTGAACCAGGGGTGGGAGGAAGTTCAAGGAGCACATCTCCTGACCTTCAGCCTTTACACAAACCAGCTCAAAACGCCAGGTTTCCTATTTCAAAATGTCTCCATTGTAGCCACACTGCGCCCATTCAGTGTCAGGGCTCTTTCCCCTCTAGTAGGAAGTAAACCAATGTCTACCCTAAATGTCATGTGCCTGTACCTAGGCCCCTCTGACCACAGGCGGTCCCCAAGAGTCACATATCAGCCCCTGTCCCAGCCCTTGTCAATGTGTCAGTAGGAGACGACACCCTATTGCGCTCAGACTTCGTGTTTTCATGGTCCCCAAAGGTCTTTCTGGTCTATTCCTTAATTTTTCCTTTTCTGTGACATGTAAGGTGAGTCCTCAGTTTTCAGAGGAGAGAACTGTGGCCTAGAATGTCAGATGACCAGTCTCAATGGTGGTGACTCCAACACTGAAAGTCTAACCTTCTGTCCCTCAACTCAGGGCTCTGAGCCCCAGAGTAGGTCTCTGTTAAAACAATCACTGCTCTAGAATGTATGGCGAGTGCATTTAAAAAGACTGCTAGTAACAACAATTTAAAAATGCCTTCCACTTTATGGGGCCTTATGACTTACAAGTTCTCACACATACTTAAATTATCTTATTTCACTCTCTCTCGTCTCTTTCTCCATTGTGGGAGTCTGTGGAATAGAGGCCTGGGTGCGGATAGGGCCTCGGAGATTTGATTCAGATGTGAGTTCTGGGAGCCCAGTAGCTGTGACTGTTGTTTCATTCGGGAGGGGCGCCCCGGGACAGGAGGTGAGGGGCCCGGAGATTAAACTTTTTTTCTTCTTGCTCCAGTCTGGGCTCGACGTCAAACTCACTTTTTCCCCAAGTGGCAAAGCCAAGCCAGGAGATGTACACGCAGTAAAAGAGCCCCAAAGTCTGCCGACCCGTGCACACAGCACAAGCCAGGCAGCGGTTGCCCCTTACGAGGCTCTGCAGTGTGGACAGCGTCTCCCCCAGGCCCACTGTCTGCTCCTGGCCAGGGAGAAGTGGGGGGAGGGGGGAAGTGCACAGCCAGGTCCTGTCACTGGGGAGGCACGCTGGGTGGGGAAGTGTCCCAGTGCACTTCTGGGTTTCTTGCCCCCATTTTACAGATGGAGAGATTGAGGCTCACAGGCAGTATATCTTGCCAAATGCCCACAGCAAGGCATAGTGGGAAAGATATCCCAATTTCCTTGTCTACTGGTATTCAGCTCACAGCAGGTGACTTTTGTAGGTGGGGCTCAGCTGTGGGCAGCAAGTACTAGCTCATCTCCTGCTCTCTGAATTCGCAGTGCTTCTCTGGGCTGCTGTTTTAATCAGGGCTCATGTGATTTAAAGCAACAGAGACCCACTCTCACTAGCTCGAATAAAGGGAATTATTATTTTTTTAATTTTTTTATTTTGAAAGAGAGTGTGCATGTGCACAATTGGGGGAAGGGCAAAGAGAGGGAGAGAGAAAGAGAGAATTTCAGGCAGAGCCCACTATGGGGCTCAATCCCATGAACCATAAGATCATGACCTGAACCGAAATGAAGAGTTAGACGCTTAACTGACTGAGCCACCCAGGTGCCCCAAGGATTAAAAAAAAACTTTTTTTAATGTTTATTTATTTTTGAGAGAGACAGAGACAGAGTGCGAGCAGGGAAGGGGCAGAGAGAGAGAGAGGAAGACACAGAATCTGAAGCAGGCTCCAGGCTCTGAGCTGTCAGCACAGAGCCTGATGCGGGACTCGAACTCACAGACCACGAGACCATGACCTGAGCTGGAGCTGGATGCCTAACTGACTGAGCTGCCCAGGTGCTCCCCCTGCCCCAGGGATTTTTGTAAAGAAGAAATCTCAGCTTAATACAAGATGGGGGTAGTGGGGACAGGCCGTCAGTTTACACCTGGCCAGGTAGGCCCACCTCTTCAGCAGAGATGAATGGGTGCAGCTCCTTCAAAAAGGGGTACAGTTGTCGCCCAAACCACCAGACCTCCCAGGAACAACTGTCCTTGGGAATGTCCATACCCCTCCTAATCAGTGTCCTCTCGGTCAAGAGACAAGTAGACATCAATGCACCAATGGATGGCAAGCACGTGGTGGATCTGTCCAATGGGGAATTGCTCAGTCATAAAAGGAATGATACATGTTACAACATGGATGCATCTTGAAAACATTATGCGAGATAAAATAAGCCAGTAAAAAAGGCCACATATGACATGAGTCCATTTATATGAAATACCCCAAATAGGCAAATCCATCAAGGCAAAAAGCGGATCAGTGGTTGCCAGGAGCTGGGGGGCGGGTAGGTGAGGGGTGGGGCACGGCCGCTAATGGGTATGGAGTTTCCTTTTGAGGTGATGAGAATGTTCTGGAACCAGATAGTGGTGATGGTTGCACAACCTTGTGACTATACTTAAACCACCGAACTGTACACATTAAATGGGTGTGCCGTATGGTATGTGAATTACATCTCAGTAATGCTATTATGGAAAACAGACAATGTGGAAACCTTAAAACTCTACCAGAAACCCAGCAGGGGGGAACCTACTGTGTGAGAGGAGGTCAGGGAAGAAGGAGGTGGCTGAAAACGCAAGGAAGTGATTTGCACCGCTGGGTGCGGGTATGATGCAGAATGAAATGCATCCATTGTCTGGGGCTGAGTCAGCAGTCTGAGCACAGGGTGTCTGAGCGCGCTGGTGTCTGCTTGACTTTCCCCGTGGTGGCATTCGTCTCTGGTCTCTCCTTAGGTACGGGCAGCTCAGCGGCATGGTGGAGCCCCTGGCAGGGGTCTTTGGCGCCTTTGCTGTGGTGCTGGCGGAGCCCCTCCTGCCCTACGCCCTGGCCTTTGCTGCTGGCGCCATGGTCTATGTGGTCATGGACGACATCATCCCTGAGGCTCAGATCAGGTTCAAGAGCATTTCTCCCCCATCTGCGCTTGTCTGTTTCCCAGCCCCGGTGGGGGTGGGAGGGGGGTTGCCAGCATGCAGATCTTCCCTTTCTTCAATTGTTGCTCTTTTTCTTTGCTCCCACCCCTGTCTGCCACTTCCCAAGGTCTGCCCCACCCCCTTCTCAACTGTGTTTTCTGAAACTGGAGAGAGGAGCAAGGGGCAGGTGGGTGGGGATGGCCCAGGCGACACCAGGCAGTGGCCTTCATTCACTCTACCTCCCCACCCCCGTGACACAGATGATATTGCCTATTGTCTCTTTCTCTCCCTACCCTCTCCTCCTCGGTTTTTCTAGGGCTGGAATCTCGGGAGAGGTGAGCTCTGAGAGCCAATGCTATCCGTCCATGTTCTCATTGTGTAGCTTATAGGCCAGGTGTCAGGGGTTGGGTCTTCCTTTCATTGTTTCATTTGGTTTTTTACATATTTATTTATTTCGAGAAGGAGAGAAGGGGGGGGAGAGAGAGAGAGAGAGAGAGAGAGAGAGAGAGAGAGAGAGAGACTCCCAAGCAAGCCCAGTGCCGCCAGCACAGAGCCCAGCATGGGGCTCGATCTCACGAACTGTGAGATCATGACCTGAGCTGAAATTAAGAGTCGGATGCTTAACTGACTGAGCCACTCAGGCACCCCGGTTTCATTTGGTTTTTGTAGCAGAATGATGCTGAGGCTAGTTTATTTATTTATTTACTTATTTTTAACTTTTTAAAAAATGTTTTATTTATTTCAGAGAGAGAGAGAGAGACAGCATGAGCAGGAGAGGGTCAGACAGAGAGGGAGATACAGAATCTGAAGTAGGCTCCAGGCTCCGAGCTGTCAGCACAGAGCCCGATGTGGGGCTTGAACCCACAGACTGTGAGATCATGACCTGAGCCAAAGTCAGATGCTTAACCAACTGAGCCACGCAGGTGCCCCAAGGCTAGTTTAAAAGGTCAGATTCAATAATACCATCAAGAATTTAGTTGCCTCTCCTTATTATTCGAGCATGCATTCCAGAGCCATAAGAGGTATCTTTGGGCAAGTTACTTCTGTATTCCTCAGTTTCCCCACCAGTAACAAGAGAGTAATGATAGGACTCCTGATCTCGTGTGGTCATCCTTTGGGATGACATGAGTGACTTTGCCTGGCATATAATAAGCCACAGTTAATGTTACAGGTCAATATTATTATCCTTACTAATCATAGTGGTACATTTTTTATTGGAATTGGACATCACAAAGGATGCTTGCAGCTTGGACAGTGTCCCGGAGTACATTAAGGTCTTCCTTTCTTTCCCTCCTAGTGGTAACGGGAAACTGGCATCGTGGGCCTCCATCCTGGGATTTGTGGTGATGATGTCACTTGATGTCGGCCTGGGCTAGTGCTGAGAAGCTTCAGGGTCCAGGAAAAGCAGCATGACGAACAAGACTGCAGTGGCTGGCTTCTACGGGACCACAAGCCCCTCTCTTTACATTAAAATGTTTTTCCTTTCTCCCCTTTTCATCTCATTATCCTGATTGACTCTGATCATAACATGACAAGTTTTACCTTTCTCTTGAGGGAGATCGTAGTTTTATTTATCTGTGTCAAGATGTCACAGAGCTACAGATATTTGGTTTTGGCTACTGAATAGAATCTTTCTTCAGCGGGATTACCCAGGCCACACAGATCAGGGAAACCTCTGCTTTTGTACCCTCGGTCTCCCTCGCTGGGCTCAGGGGCAGCTTGTCAAGTTCACCTACAGGAGGAAGCTACCGAGAGGGAAGCTTCCGAGCATTTTTTTTTTTTTTTTTTTTTTTTGCCTTGCGACTCAGAGCAGAATGGTCAGGACATCTCTGGTCCATCCGTCCTGATCTCTCACCGCTGATCATCCGCCTGTTAGACCAGAACTGGAACATCATGGACAGAGCAACCTACTCTCCAAGGTCCAGCCAGCCCAAGGAGGAACGTGCCTTCTTTCTGCATCCCCCAAGGGAGATGCTAGTTGGGAAGTGATGCTGACAAAGGGAAAGAAATCAGTTAGTCTTTTTCTTTCTTTCTCTCTTTCTTTCTTTCTTTGTTTTTCAAGGCAAAGATCGACACTATTGAAGTTAAGGGAACTGGGGAATTCGAACAGCCACAAACATATAGTGAGTCCTGTAAAAAGAAGCCAGAGAGCGGCTTTGGTCAGAGACCTCTGCTTTCTATGGATTCCAAGAGCAAAGTGGTTTGTCCAGGCTGCCAAATCCCTAGACCTGTCTTTTGATATGTTTGTAGCCTTCAGTTTTCTAAGAGACTCGGGGACTCCAGCAGACAGACGGCTGGAGCTCCAACCCTCCTGGAGTGACGGAGGGAGCCACTTACGCTAACTTAAGCGAGAGAAAGACATTTTGGAACCTGCAGTAGGTCCTTTCCCATTGACCATTCGGTAACTTGTAACCTGACCCAGAAGTCTTAAACTGCTGCAGGCTTTGCTGGAGTTTGGCCAGAGAGCTTAGGATGAGAAAGGAAGAAGGGGTAGGAAGAAAAAGAGAGATTTCTACATTTCCCCTTGTGAAGCAAATCTTGGCCAAGTCATCATTCTGAAATGACCCTCAAGGATGACTTGAAGTAGACTGGAGGCCAATCTGCTCCTTCCTACAGAGAGCTCCTCCAACAGGGGCGATCTATTGTCTGCTTCACACATAGCTAAAGCCTTCCGTCCTCATTGGTCAGAGGAGCATATGGGACCTTAAACAGGCTCTGCCAGCAAGGCCAGCAGCCCAGGACCAGGTATTTAGGCACTGTGTTACCGAAGCCCGCCCTCTGAGTTTACACGTTGAATTGCTTCCAAGGGTGAGTACCCTGCCCTGTGAATGCTCTGAGACCCCAAAGGCCAACCTTATGCTGGGTCTGGGTCTGTTCTTCTGAAGCACTGATGATCAAAATTGAAGACACATTCAGAGGTTTTTGATCGGTTGAAATTAATTGGTTTGGTGGTTGGTGTGTGTGTATTTTTTACGTCTTTGTATGTAGTTCTACACAATGCAAACTCTCTGATGGACAAGACCTCATAACTGTGATTAATATCAATAAAGGGGATATTGTTGTGGATGAGCTGTGTTCAGTTCTTCTCCAAGTTGCTTCTTTCCAGGGTGGATAATCTGAGAGCTGACAAAAGTTGGTCCTGACATCTCCCCTTCCTAACATGAGCAGAAGCAAAGGAAGGAGCTCAGATGAGATGGGCCAGTTAGTCATAGTTGCAAGTAACAAATCCAACTCCAGGTAATATAGACAGGAATTTAATGGAAGGCTGTTGGGAGCTCACAAGATCCATAGGAAAAAGCGGATCCATCTCGAAAATTGGGTTGGATCTAAGAAAGCTAGAGTCTGGGACCACGACCCAATCACATCTCAAAAGCAGCTTGGTTTGGGTGCTGTGGCCCCTGGATACAGAAAACCACGACTCAAACTGTTCCTCCTTGGTTCTACCACCACCACCATGGGACTGAACTCTAAATTGACCCTGATTCTTTGCACCTTGGTTCCACAAAGTTCTGGGCAGTAACATCTAAGCTGGCAGAGCTTATATCCTGTGTCCGTGAACTAGCCAGTCCCACCATCTGACTAAGACTCGCAAAATAATGGCTTTTCCATTTTGGGAATGAGTTCAGATAGTGGAGACCCCAAAAGAAGAAAAAAATGTATATTGTGTTTATTACAGCCTCACTCTTTCCACATTCCACATCTCCATACACTCCAACTTCTCTGTTCACTCTTAAGCAAAACTTCTGCTAGATAATGGAGCTCTCCATCATGCAATGAAACTTCATACTTCCCTTTTCCAAAGGGAGCTACCCTAAGGGCTGGCTGCCTCAGTATGGAGCATTCCTTTCTTGGATTCAAAAACTAAACTCCTGGGGTCCAAAGGTGAAGAGAGTGAGTTACTAGATAAAATGGATCAGGCGCCATCCCCCCACCACCGTCTTCCGGATCTGTTTAGTCTGGCTATGGGGAGAAACAGCTCCATATATTGATCATTGGTTCTGAACCAGTGTCTTAAAGGACATTTGTCCTTAGAGGATCACTTGTCTTAAAGGACAATACGTCAACTTCATTAGGTACTGTCTCAGAACTAGTCCTGAAACCATATCTTCAATAATTCAAGTCACCATTCAATACACATTACTGCTCCTGAGAGACAGGCTCAGATCACAAGGGTATCTACCCAATGCCTTCCCCCTTGGACTGTAAAGTGAATTATTTGGTCAGAAGTAGTGTCCCATAGAATGCTATAGTGATCGGATAGATGGGCGCTATTCCAAACCCACATATATAAGCCTGTTTCAGTGAGGTGATATCTCTACCTTTTCCATAATAGAAGAAGTCCAGAGTAATCAATCTTGAGCTAAGTAGTCTGTGGGTGTCCGTGGAGTATCAGCAGTACTCAGGGTCACGGCCCAGTCACATATAAACCATCTCCAACCGGTAACAGAACTTGATGAGTGTGTTAGATGACCTATACATAATGGACAGCGTGGCTCACACATGACATGCAAAACCTCAGGGAAAATCACTTGGTGTTCTATGTTCCTATGCTTCTCACACTAGCAGAGTAAACCCAGAATCTCTCTAACAATCAGATGTCAATGAATTCAGGCTAATTTAGGCTTATGTTCTTCCCTCCTTTGTTGAGTGCCCTAAAAATCTGTTCCCCAACTTTGTCAGTAAAATTAGAAAACTCCTGAAATAGTGTTGGCTTCAAATCCTTATTCTCCCTGGGTTGAGTTTGCCACTGCCCTTTCTTTGGGGGTATGCTGGGATATAACTTGTATCATTTCTGGAGATAACACAGGGTAGTGCAGAAGGAGAATTGTCTCCCTCGTAGGGTGGCTCCTTTAGGCAAAGCAATTACAGTGTCTTCAAGAGGTGTTTCAGAAGACTGAAGGAAGGGGGTTGTTTCGGCTGACAATGGAAGCTCTTTGAGGATTGAGGACTCAGAAAACCCCAAGGTTTTGGATCCTCCTGTAGATCTCTGTTCCTTTCTGAGTCCTACTGCTTCCGGACTTGGCCGGGTGGTCTGGAGCCGGGGGCGGCGCCGGGGGCGGGTCCCTGGGCGGGGCCGCGATCCGCCGGCGGCTGTTTACCTGCGCGGGGCGGGGCTGCGGCCGCGGGGCGGGGCTGCGGCCGCGGGGCGGGGCTGCGGCCGCGGGGCGGGGCCGCGGACGGCGCGGGGCGGGGCCTGCGGTGGGAGGAGCTCCGGGGAAGCGCAGGGACCCGCCCCTCTCGGCCGCCCCGCCTGCTACGAACCCGCAGACGCCATCAACCCGCTTGCTTCCAATGAGGCCAGTCCGTCTCCACCTAAGGGAACGGGGGCTTCCTGGGTCTCCCTGCTGTCTGCAGGCTTGTCCTTTGCAGGAGTGGACCTGGATTTGGGGTTTCCGAAGTTTTGTACAATTTGAGGAGCGCTCTTTGGGGGAAACTAAAGGACAGATACATCATTAGGTACCGGACTTCGGAAAGAGCCAGACCAACGTCCCAGCAGTTAAGGCTTCCTTGGCTTTAAGGTAAGTTCATCTCTGGTCCCCGAGCTGTAATTTACCGTGTCTGGCGGTGCTAGGGCATGTAGAGATTCCAGAACTTCAGGGGTTTTATCGAGTGAGTTCACTGTGCGATCATCTTCCCAGCACAGCACAGCCCTGCAGCTGTGACAGGGGGGGTGGTAGTGTGTTCGTAGGCAGGAAGAATACTGCTCAAAATTGTGCTTCTCCGCCCTGGAGCAGGAAGAACTACACCTGCTAGGAGGAGCGTTTCCTCCTTCCGGCCTGAAGCAGGAAGTAAGCGAGCCAGTGAGCCCTGGGGGATCAGAAATCCTAAGCCTTAGGATCCTACCCAACCCTCTTCCCTGCTAGCTCTCCTCTTGACAGTGTCTGGGCTCCGCTAGCGACTTGATAGCAGAGGGACCCTCCATGGCCACCGTCTGTCCCCTAGAGCTGTCATTGGACCTCTGCTTCTGATGGGGCTGCTCAGCCTCTGGACCCCCAAGCAGCCTTGGGGCACCTGGCTGTGCCCTCTATTCCTGGGCATGGAAGACGTGGGCAGATGGCTGAGTGAAAAGAGCAGCTGGATTTTGTTGACCCAGGGAAATGCATAGGATTCTTTTTGCACAGGGTAGATTGTGTGGGAGCTCCTTTGATTTAGTCTCCACTCTCTCGCAAACTATGAGCCACAAAGTTAACAAGTGTTTTTACTGGCCTTGTTGTCTAGCAGGAAGGGGTATGGATCTTGGAGTTGGTGAGGACCTGGCCATGGGGTTTAAGGCGAGGCTTAACTCCTTTCACTGATGGCAAGAGCCATGACCTCCAGGAAAATCAGGATGTGTCGGAAGACTGAAAAGGTAGCCTGGAGGGAGCATGCAGAGAGAGCCAAACTGTAGCCAAGATTTGGTTTTGCTTTCTAAGCCTTCAGTAAAGGTGGTAGAAGTATACCCCCTTCTCTGACCTTGCCTTTTAGCTTTAGGGTTGGATATGCACTTGGGTCTGAAGCCCACATTGGTCACTACCACACCGTGGAGGGTGTCCCATAGAAAAGAACAATCAGCTGTTTTCAGATCAGTACTTAGGTCTATATGTCATCAAAGTTTCTCTTGAACAGATACCTGCTCCTTTCCTGCTTTTTCAGTGAAAATGCCAATTGAACTTACTATGTGAAATTATGGGGAATATAAAATTGGTTATTTACTAACAGGTCTACAGCATACATTTTTTTAAAAAAAGCATTCTCTTAAATGATTCATGAATCTATAGATTTCTTCCATATGGGCACTTTGGTGACTTGGTGGGAGATGGCCATTTTTCTAGTTCTCTAGGGTTGTATAACTACCCCATAAACTGAGTGGCTTAAAGCAACACACATTATTGTTTCAGTTTCTCTGGGTCAGGAGGCTGGACATGGTTCAACTGGATCCTCTGCTCAGGGTCCCACAAGGCTGCAGCCCAAGTGTTCGCCCTTGGCTGTGTTCTCTGGGGCTCTACTGGGGAAGAGTTCACTTCTGAGCACACCCAGGTGGTTGGCAGAATTCAGCTCAGGACTGGGAGCCCATCTTGGTGACGTGTTGGGTGTGGGCCTTTTCTTAGCAACTAGGGACCACCTGTAGTTCCACGTGTAGGGGCCACTCACGGTTTCTTGGCACATGGGCTTACCAACATGGCTGCTTGCTGGAGGCCGAGCCGGCTCCGGCAGGTCCAGGGGTCCCTGAAGGATGGATGGTGTCGGCGAGAGAGAGAGTGAGAGAGCCCCGAGATCCTTTCTGACCACCAGGCAGGCATCTCTGTCCTGTCAGTTTTGGTGTCTTTATTTATAGGTTAAATAATAACATGACATCAGAAAAAGGAATTTTTACAATGGATAACTCTTTGTGATAAGATGCTTTGGAAAGTGTACAGAAGCAGGTTTTACAGAAATATTCTTGCAGAACTATTCCAGTTATAGTGAGGTTAAGTAAATCTTATAACTAGAGAATTAGGGTATTCTTAGTAAAAGACAGGATACGTATTTGTTCTCAGTTAATAACGCTAAGGTTGGGTCATGGGTTAAGTGTATAGATGGGCTAAGAGTCATTCTGTCTGACTCTCAAATATGTGTTTTTGAGTTGGTTGATAAGTTGTTTGTGGAAACCTATTTGATGCTGAGTGTGTGAACACCACGGAGGCCCTAAATGTGTCAGCCTTTTGTTTGTGGGTAATGCTTTAGCTGCTCTTATCTATCCTCATCCCAGCCACCTGTAAGGGAGGGTGTTTGCAGAAAGTAGGCCTTGGGGAAGGGACTGCCATCCATCACCAATTAGGAGAAGGTGTAAGTATTAACTTAAGTTCTGCCCTTATCTGTACCTTAACTCTAAATTAGGCTCTTTGTCTCGGGGCCAGGCTCAGTTGTAATTCTTGTGTTCTTAACCCCCTAAGTCTTGGATCTGCAAGGCCCTTAGGAAGAGCCTTTTGACAATCATCCATAGAGCTTTCATCTAAAATCTCTCTTGTAAAGGCAGGAATATGCTTTTTCTTATGAGGTTTCTGTGTTCAGAATATTGGTCTGATATGGAATATTGTGAGGCCTGG